GGGGCTATTTTCCTTCCTTAGTTGCTGCCGCCACTCACTGGATTCACACTGCCTTCCTAGAGGTACGGTAAGACCCCTCTGGGTGATTCCCCAACCCGGGAAAGTGGGTATCTCAATCTTTGGGCACCCCCTGGAGAGTTGGCAACCACTCTGAGTTGGGCCCATTTGGGTTCCTCTGGCCTTCCTTTGCCTCTTTCAATGTGCTGAGTATGCAATTCCCCTAGTTGATTGCTCACTTGCACAGGTCCTGCCTGCCCCCCCTTCAGTTTATATACTGCACAAATCCTCTGGTTTGACCTGAGTCCAGTTGGGTTTGTGTGGCACAGAGGTTGTTGGGGGGGGGGGGTGGCTCGGGTTTTTCTGCTCTGGTTCTGCTGCTGGGCATGGCTGCCAATGCAAACATGCTCCCTATGTAGGCTGCTGCTGCTGCAGAGGGAGAGATTGTCTGGTTCTGTTGGTTTTGGGTTTTTTTGGGCACTGCCTGGCACATTGGCACAGGTTGTGGTGGTGGTGGGGAGACTGCTCTGGACTGGTTCTGCTGCTGGGCCTGGCTGTCACTGGCAATGCACAAACATGCTCCCTCAGTCTGTAGGCTGCTGCTGCAGTCTACAGAGATTCTCTGGTTTGAACCAAGTTCTGCTGGTTTTGGGCAGTGACTGGCAGCTGGCACCTTGGCACAGGTTGTGGGGGGGCAGATTGCTCTGGTTCTGCTGCTGGGCCTGGCTGGCATTGGCAATGCACAAACATGCTCCCTCAGTCTATGCTGCTGCTGCTGCTGCTGCAGAGATTCTATGGTTTGAACCAAGTTCTGTTGGTTTTGGGCACCTTGGCACAGGTTTTGGGGGGGCAGATCGCTATGGTTCTGCTGCAATGCTGGCTGGGCCTGGATGGCAATGCAAACATGCTCCCCCAACAGGTTGCCCCCATCCCTCCATTGTTCTCTCTATGGTGGGGAAAAGGTTACTTTTTTCCCACCATAGCGAACAATGGAGGGATGGGGGCAACCTGTTGGGGGGCCCGTAGAATTGGACCCCCTGGTCCAATCTTCTTGACACTTGGTGGGTATCTTGGGGAGAGGTTCCAGCAGCCACCCTCCGAGTTTGGAGCCTCTCCTTCAAACCCCCTCCTAGGGGTGTGCAAAAAGAAAAAAGGTAAAATTCGGATTCGAATTTATTGGACCCGAATTTTTTCGGAATTTATTGGACCCGAATTTTTTCGGGATTCCCAGAAAAACCCCAAATATCTATACCGGTAAAGCCCCATATTGTGCCAAATGGCCCATAGGATATAATGGGGTTGAATTGCCGCCAAATTTTGGCGGCAAACCGGCAATAGGCAGGCAAGGCAGCAAGCTGATCTGGGGGCACCCTCTTTGGATGCCCCTGGAATTGGACCCTCAGACCAATCTTGTCAAAACTTTGGGGGTCATTTGGGGAGAGGCTGGAGGAGCCACGGTCCAAATTTGGAGCCTCTACCTCAAACCCCCTCCCCCCCAGCCCCCTGCAAACTTTCCAGAGGATTTTTGCCATTGACTTCAATGGCCCCATTGGATATAATGGACCTGAATTTTTCGGGTTTCCCAAAATTTTTCAGATATCTATGCTTTACCGGTATAGATATTCGGGTTTTTTTGTGTTTCCCCCCAAAAATTCGGGTTCAATAAACTCGAATTTGAATTTTACTGAATTTTTTTTTTTTTTTGCACACCCCTAGTGCTCAGATGGTTTGGAAAAAGACATAGGTGGCATTGGTATCGGTGAAGTCGGATCGGATGGATTTTTAAACTTTGGAATTGTTGGGTGCGACGGCTTGGAGGGTTTGCACATCGGCCTCAACGGTTGGGGCCTCACAAACTCCGGTGTCGATGCAGGATCTCGATACCGGGAGAGACGTGAAGAGGTGGACTGATGGTCCCATTCCATCGGTTGGGGTGGGAACCATGGCATACTGCCTGTAAATGGGTGGGCCCCATACATGTATTGCCACTGCCATTGGTCCCAGGAAGGCGGTGGTGGCGGGTGGATCGGTGGTCGGTCCCAATCATCAGGTTGGAGCTGTGAAGGACGGACAGGCCCATCGGCTCCACGGTCTGAGTGCAGACTTTCGGTACTGGAAGACTGGAAGATCTGTGTTAAGTCCATATCATGCTCAGAGTCCATGAGCTGGATAGGACGCAGTGAAGGCGACTGAGGTACACCTTGTGGCTGATATCGGCACTGAGAGTCAAGTGAAGCAGCCCCCGAAAGATTCGATTCCATGGCCCTCCGAGGGGTCAGCAGAGATTGCACAGGGGAGTTTTCTTATGCTTTTTAAGCTTGACTGGCTGACCGTCCTTGCCTTCCCTGCATTTTTTGGAGGGAGTATTAGCTAAGGACTGAGATGTCTGGGCCGAGCGTTTCAGCATCAGGTGGTCGACATCTATGTGAGTCGGTATCGGGGAAAGCGCTGCTGTCGATATCAAGGTGGCAGTCGACATTGACACATGCCCTGAAGTGTCCTGTGACGACATCGGTGAAAGCGCTAACTTCAAAAGCGCAATGTGAAGTCCAGCAGCTCTATTCTTCCTTGTCTCCTTCGAAAACTTCATGCAATGAACACAAGAGTTCATTCGGTGAAATTCCCCGAGGCAAAAAAGACAAAACGAGTGCCCGTCGGGGGGGGGGGCGCGATCTTGCTGCCGCACTTAAGTCACCGTTTAAAGAAACCCCACCTCTTGGCCACAGGCTGGGAAAGAGGGGGAACACACGACAGAGTCCAAAAGGAAATAAATCCATAGAAACAAAGTCCTTTCACTTAACAAAAATAAACAAGAAGAAAAACAAAGAAACTTCGAAGAAATGAGGAATAGGCCTAAAAGCCCAATGTTTTTACCGACTGAAGCAAAGAAGATCCTACCAGCGAAGCGGCCAGAAGAGAACTGGCGGGATTGTTGTGCCCCTCCCTTGGTCATGCTCAGTGGGGCCGGCACGTGACAGGGGAGCTGCGGGCATGAAAATCCCTTTCGCTTTCAAGAGGAACCGATCGAGGTCGGCGCAGGTGCACTATATCCCAGAGGTATGATGCACAGAGACCACGAAGAAGATTATGCGCCTACTGAGCAATAATAATGATGTAGACCTCAGAAGGATCTCTCACACACATGAAGTTCAAGTTAGCACAAAGCTCAGTTCTTAAGGCTACATTAAGTTGACTACATATACAATTCAACAAGACTATCCTGTGAGAATTTACACTTTCAGTGCCTTCTCAAAAAGGTATGCTTTGTCTTACAGAGTTTTAAGGAGACCTAACAACTGAATGCCTCACCTCTGGTAATGTAGAAATATTGTTGTTCTCCAAATTCAGCTCATCAAGTTTGCTGCACTGTGCTAGAGACCGGGGTATTGCTGAAAGCCGGTTATACCTCAAACCAAGACTTTTCAGGCTTGACAGATTTCCTAAAATAAATAAATAAAGCCCCAAAATGATTAAGAGATTTGTGCAATAGAAGCTAGAAGAAATAAATTGCATATCTACAGATTCTAACTAGCTTTGATATATTTGGAATTAATCCCTTTCCACTGTTCCCTCTAAGCTGAGTTATTGTGTGCTAGCTCACAGTTTTTTAGCCTCCAGCTCACACATTTTTGTCTGAGCTCCAGAAGGATAGTTCCCGAGCAAACTAATTGATGCAGTAGCCAAATCGCTCACTCACAACATATTGCCAGTAGCTCACAAAATAGAATTTTTGCTCACAAGACTCCACAGCTTAGAGGGAGCACTGCCTTTGACTCTCATAGGGTGCGGTCAGACAGCGTGTTGAGAGCGGGTTAAACTGCTCCAGTTCTAACCAGATTATATTTGATCTGGATAATCGCGATCACACTTACCCCCCCTTATCCCACCTCACCGTGCAGTCACGTCGCTCTCCGGCGTCTACACTATCAGCACGCAGGAGCGTGCATTGGCGGGTTTTAAAATTTTTTCTCAGTTTGCGCATGTGCATAGGCACCCCTCCGTAGAATGGGGGGGAACTATCATGGCGCATGCGCAGAACCACCAGGGCGAATAAATCCAACCCCTCCAACAAAAGACTTCCCTTTAAAAGTTTGATCCGGAAATGGCCTCTGTGAGATCCCGAACTCATCTAAACTCTAAAACAAGTGACCGTTTAAATGTCGTTTTTCTAAACATGGTAGCGGAGCTCCACCTATGCGCACACCGCCAACGCTTTTTTAAAAATGGCAGGCAAAAAGCGGAAGCCTTGGGCAGCTTTCGAGCGGAGAGGGGGTTTAAACCGGAAGTGGCTTGACACCGGAGAAGCGATCACACAGGGGTGTAATGCAGCTTTAAACGGGAGACCTGAGAAAACACCACTTTGGGACCTAGTAAGAAAATACTCTGGGTTAAAGCAGTTTTGAGCCAGAAACCAATGGCTGGGGAAGGGAGGCAGATGTTGACTGTGTGATCGTGCATATAAAATCCGTTTCTGAAGCGTGATGACACCAGATCAAATGGCGCATCTGAACGCACCCATACATAGACACCTATGTTTTAGAAAGAGAACAGCCCATTTCCACAATAGTATCTAAAAATAATTTTAACAGCAATATTTTTCTGTGGATTTCATAAGAACACACACAAACATTGATTAATATATCCCTATTTCAGCTTTCTCATTTAGGTAGTATTACTATTCCCACTACTGAGTTTTGCTCTCTACCTTCATTACAATTCTCTAAACTCTACCCCCCCCCCCCCAACACTGCTTTTAAAAAAATTACTGGCCATTTATCATTAGAGCATTTTACACTACTTTACACATTTCAGATTATAAGGATAAGCATTTCTGCAAGAGCAAAGAGCAAAACATTATCAACTTTTAAAGCAGCATAACAAGGAGAGGAACATTTTAGAAAAAACCTTGTAAGTAGGTTCCACAGTAGACCATATTTAATGAAAACCTGCTGCTATCTCCTAAGGTTTTCTACAGTTAGCCACAAGGTTAAGTTGCTAGTCTCTTGCATGGTGTAAATAAGCACAGGAACAGAATTACCAAGCCTAACTTGAAAATGCCATCTTGGCTAACTCTGTCCAAAATCTCCTTACATGGAATGTACTGCTTTTCAGGTGGCCTATCTATAACCAGTTTATGGAGGTATAAAATTATGGCTAGAATCTTTGGTTAAAAACTAAGTGTGTTACCACAAAGAGATCCACTGGAACTAGGGTGGGCATACTGGTCAACTGACTAACCAAATATTTCAGAAATGTGCAAGAATGCAAATGAAACAGTGTCAGCTTACTTTTTATAGAAGAAGGGCTGACCCTGGTTCAAGTTGTCCAGGAGGAGCCAAAAACTGTTCAATGTTCACATTTACAGGAATCAAATATAGTACCGTCAATAGTGGAAATAATACTTTTTAAAAAGGTAAATCCATTTTTTCACAACTAATTTGATTTTGTAATTAGCATAAGGTTCATGCCTGTTGACAGCTGAAGTATTTATTGTTCTAGTAAATTTATGTATTAAAATATTTGACCAGTATTATACAATCTTTCACAATACTTGACCCACCAATGACTAAATATTTTCTGACTAATCCTGCGGCCAGTGTTGGCTAGCCAATTTGAACTACTTTCACAGCATTCATAAGTGAGAACCAACAACACATGATGTATTTCAAACTCTTGGGCTGCAATCCTAAGCATGCTTATTTGGGAATACATCCTAATGGACTCCTAAATTGACTCAGTATGATTTATTTTCATGAATACAGAATCATGCTGCACTTGACTAAATTAACTATAAAAAGGTAATTTTTTAAAAGGTCACATGCACTTCTGCCTTAATTTGTATTTAAGGTCACAATGGGATGCTGAATTTGCAATGCCCTCGTTCTCGGTTTTAATGCAAAATGATTTAAGAAGGTATCCTGGAAAATCTTGACAGGCAGGGAATAATTCATACCCTGTTTCCCCGAAAAGAAGACTTACCCCCAAAATAAACCCTAGCGGGATTTCTATGCATTTGTGGTATAAGCCCTAGTGTGTCTTCTTGAGAAAAAATAAATATAAGACAGTGTCTTATTTTCGGGAAAACACGGTACATATGTGCATGCACATACACACACATAAGACACAGAAGTACTGGAAGTATTTGAAGTTTGGCCAAACAACTCTTAAAGTAACGCTATGAGTCTTTATATATTTAAAAACCATTCACATCAAAGAAAGAATACATTAAAAGTTATGTATCTTAACAGAAAAATTAAGAAAAAGAAACTTAGTGAGGCCCTACATATTTGGCTCGGAGATACCTTAATGCCCTGACCTTGTGCAGTGAAGAAGATGCATTGTACATTTTATTTGTTTTACAACTTCTGCATATTATTTTAAGAGCTCAGAATATTGAATACAATAGAACAATGTATCTTGGACACCTTGAAACTCAGACACCATTTAAACGTTACACTAATATGGCAAAACACTCACAAAGATCATCTTGGCAGCATATGCAATATCAGCGTGCCAGGGATCCATTATGCTGTGCATTTGTGTGCTAATATTGCATGCAAAGGGGATATGGGCCTATTTTAAACAAGCTGAGCATACACAATGCTTTCTTGTCCTCCTATAACTTTTTGGGCATAGATTACATATAGTAAAAGATCCTCCACCTGGATTTATGAGCTTTGTAAGAGTGTAAGGGTGACACACGGTATAAGGCAGTCTATTCTAACATCTTATTCCCACCTCTGTCTCATCTTAGAGGTTCACATTCTGGAACAGTCCTCTATGTTAAAAGCTTTGCAGCTGAAAACCAGCACAGCATGCGGGGGGGATGGGGGGGGGGGGGGGTGTTTTAAAAACTTTTGCCCTGCAGTGCTACCATTCTGTTTGCACGGCTTTTTTTTTTTAGTGCAAAGAAACATTCAAAGCTGGAATCTATCACTTGCAGTCTAAGATGTAAAAATCAAAAAGAATACTTAGTGTTCCGTTATTTATTGAGTAACTTTGGCATTTCTGTCAAAGGCCCCTTGTCCCACAAGAAGGCTTTGGGTGAAGGTCAAGATCAAAACACACAATACGGGGGAGTGCATCCTCACTACTCAAGGTAATGAGGTGCCACCAGCCATCTAAACTAGCCCTCAGCTGAAGGACAAGAATCCAGCCATACTGGGTGTTAATGAAGAAGTCAGCCCTGCAAGGCAGGCACTTCGCAAGTTGAGTTCCACAAGTAATTACTTCAGTAGCTGTAGCCAAAATAAACCAAGGTATTGGGCTTAGATTGAAGCCCCAAAACCCAAATACTACCACAGGATCATAATTAATAAGGTTTATTAAAAGAAATGTGCAAATGTATACAAATACAGAAGCAGTCCAATACAGAGAAGAAAATAATAAAACTAAATAACTATCCAAAACCCAAGAAACTGTTGCCCTGCAAGAGCCTCACGCAGCAACTATAAGGCTATGGACTATAACTGTAAGCTGGTCTGTACAATAACTGTGCTAATATTGGACTATGCACTAAAGATGGTGCCAACCTCCTGGACTGTAGACATGTGACCAGGCAAGGGAAGCCTTGCCCTGAAGCAGTGTGCCAAGCCAGATGATGGACCCATGGATTACCCAATGCCTTTCACCCCTGCATCCATACAGGAGACAAACCAACCTCCCTGACACCACAAACACACAGCAACCAGCAGCAGTTCGCTATGAAGGAGCCATGCTCTGTGAAGGAAACCTGAGTGTTCCTGCAAGGACTCCATAGAAAGATTCCTTCTCCATCACGCAGGCACTTCTTCCCCCCCCCCTCACCTTTGCAGATGCTGCAACGTACTTTCCATTGTGAAACAAAAGGACTTACGACATGAGCGAATTAAGCAGCTGGCACGTCCATCCACCACCCATTCTGATAACGCAGCTGCTGATCATTGGGCCATTACAACTAACGACCATCCATGGAGCCGGAACATTACTGTTCTTTTCTTTCCTTTGTCTTTTTAAAGGTGTCACCATTAGTTGAATGTCTTTGCAATTGCCCAACCATTGATCCTGTTCTTCTGGTCACCTTCTAACCATTAGTAACTGGATTTTTCTAGAATTCTTGGGAACTACATGACTGATGAAGGGTCCCCCTCACAGTCACTTTAGGGTATATAAAGAGCACTTCTCCCCATTGCTCTCTCTCTCACTTCCTACCTACCTGACCCCACCCTACCTTGCTGACTTCATTACTAGTTCTGTGTGGAGTCACCCATGTGCATTGCTGGTCAACACATGACCCCTTCCCTAGTATTTTCCCCAATTTTTGCTGCAGGATCACCTCGTCAGGTTGGACGGGTAAGGTATCTATCTAATTTCTTAGCTCTGTATTCATTGAGTGTGTGATCGTTTTATTTTTATTCTACGTGTGGGAGAATTGTTAGTAAAGAAATCATATTTAAGATCC